AAAATGATGAGACAATTCATTTCATCATTCTAAACTGGAAATATACTAAATCTTGCAGTATGCTGATTAAATGCAAGTATATTTATTTCAAGATACAAGATAAATAGCTCTGGTGAAATCAGTAGAAAAGACAAATGCACTTAGTCACTGAAAACGCCTCTTATATCTAGTTCAGTCTATGAAGTTGATTGACTGAGTGTCAATAGAGGAATGTAGATTGCAATTTGAAATAAACTCTACTAATGACCATTGTTATAGAGTTTTAACCTATCACCTAAACACATTATACATTCATCACATAAATTTCAATGTACTTCTATCCCCTAAGATTTCTATGGGTATACTACAGTATATGGGCTTTACTAGCCTTTTGCAGATTATTGACATAGACATAGACATTTCAATATACTTCCATCACCTAAAATTTCAATGTACTTCCATCGCCTAAGACTTCAATGTACTTCTATCCCCTAAGGTTTCAATGTACTTCCATCACCTAAAATTTCGATGTACTTCCATCACCTAAAATTTCAATGTACTCCTATCATCTAAGACTTCAATGTACTTCAGACATAATGTATTTCTATTACCATATACTTTTTTGAACTTTCATCACCTAAGACTTCAATGTACTTTTGCCTCAGACATCAATATACCTCTATCACCTAAGACTTCAATGTACTTCTATCATCTAAGACTTTAATGAATGTACTTCTATCACCTTTATTAATGTACTTCTATTGTAAAATGAAAAACAAACATGTTGTTCCTAAATCTGTTGATAGAGACAATGTTTTATTAGCTACTAAAACCTAATGGATAAGATACTTCAGTATATTCATGCTCAAGGAAAGTACTTGCTCTAATTAGCAAATGCTGTAATGTGAGATCAGGATAAACATTATATACGACTCCATTGAACTTTGATCCAGGCAATTAAAAATAATGAGATTGGGATACTGGAAAGCCCAGAACATCCTTCTTCACAGGACTTCACTTATGCTTAAATTTATGGAAAGACGTGAAATACCTTTGGACCAAGGATGCCTTAAGTACAGACTGTACTAGACCACCCCCCCCCCCCCCTCTATTCTATCCAGGCAATAGATTCTCAAAGGTTTATACCAATGCCTTGTGATAAAAGCAAACACCTATCTTTTGTGACCAGTAAGTTAGATCCCTAACTGCATATATATTGTCATCACTTCTTTCCTGGAGAGAATTAAGACTTATAGTCAACAAGCATGTAAAGTTCCTCTAATGAAACAACAAATGATGATCCTCATAAATATTCTTAGAGTGTAAATTATGAGTTAATTTGCTCGATAAAAACAAGGTCATTGGTCTAAACAAGGTTACATCTTCAATTGACTCCAATTAATCTGCAGAGAAGTTCTATAATTGACACTTGTTAATATGCTGAATGACCTCAGAAGAAGATTAAATTATTTCTTCTGAACATAATGAGAAAAAATATCAAATAATTGTCACCGCGTAACTGAAGAATCTATTTCCACAAAATAAATATTGACTACATCTCTCATCAAGCAGAGTCATAATTTATAAAACTTGATGAATTGATATCAAGGAAACACTGTCATCAAAATAATAAAGAACTTCAACAAATTAGTTGAGAACTTTATCGTGAAGAGCTTTTCAGTCTCAGTCAGCGTTTGTTGAGTCAACAAACAGGCGCCAAGAAGTTGATCAAATTTTCACCATAAATTTTGAGATTTTTTCTATTATGGATTCTCATCTGAGATGATAAAATGAAATTACTTTCACGATAGCAGTTCAAGCCACCTTATTATTACATTAGGGTATGTTGTCTGATTGAGTTAGCAATATAGGACTCATGTTTTTACAATAACCTATAGATCACATTGTTAGTTTGATACATTGATCAAATGATCAATGAGGAAGGTGACCAGATGGCAACTGAGAACAATACTGTACTATGAGTATAATATCATGTTATGAGTACAATATCATGAAATGGGTACAATACCATGTTATGAGTACAATATCATGTTATGAGTACAATATCATGAAATGGGTACAATATCATGTTATGAGTACAATATCATGTTATGAGTACAATCATGTTATGATAAATTATCATGTTATGAGTACAATTTCATATTATGAGTACAATATCATGTTATGAGTACAATATCATGTTACGAGTACAATACCATGTCATGAGTGTTATATCATGTTATGAGTACAATATCACATTATGAGCACAATATCATGTTATGGGTACATTATCATGTTATGATTACAATATCATGTTATGAGCACAATATCATGTCATGGGTACATTATCATGTTATGAGTACATTATCATGTTATGAGTATAATTTCATGTTGTGAGTAGAATATCATGTTATGAGTACAATTTCATATACAATGCTAATTTTTATTAATCAATATAACATAGTCTTTATCTTTTAACATTTAATATATTTTGGGAGGTTTACTAAAGAATAACCACTAAACCTAATAACAACTGTGAAAATACACCTCATGGCAAAACACAGTCAATATCTACAGCATCACCCTAAATGTCGGACTGACATCACTGATTTTTGACTTCTTCCATTTAATTTGTTTGTGAATCTATTGAATGTTTCATGCATAATAATACTGTGTATCTTCTATTATATTATCTGACAATGATACATGTGATCTTCAGGTTCTTTGGGCCAAACCAGCGGGAAGTTGGTGTTTTTTCTGAAATGTTGTCCTGCTTTCCAACCCCTTCCACCACTGCTTTATCAATTTTTGTTGCATCAATATGTTGCATTTTGACACACAATTAAACCCTTTAAAGGAATTCTTCAGGGGTTTTAAAGATATCCATTATGGGTGACCAAAACTAGCTGAAAGCAATGGATCACATGAGTTTTCCCTGTAGGAAAATAACATGGGAAATATTTTTTTCCACTTTATCGAAGAGGAATCACAGTTCAGAAAAAACATGTGGTTGGGTTGTTTGTATCTTCCCTGTCTCAAAGTGGAAATTATTTTTTCATCTCTATGAGTGCTTTTCCTGGAGATAATGCATTGGCCTAACAAATGCACCTGTTGAAATCCTAAGAAAATAGCCAAAATCTAACATATGACTGTCCGAAATCTGTTGCGATACTTTCCCTCCTCCTTTGAAAAAAGTTGTGCAATGCACTATCACAGTCTTTGTTTGCAATGCAATGCTACAACTGGAAGTTCAGAAAAACAAAACATTCTATAGTCTCTTAAATTTCAATAAAGATTTTGTGCATAATTAGCAGTAGCATTTCAACTTCTCATATGAAAAGAGGATTGAAAGCCAAGAAGAAACTGTCAAACATAATTTGAGAGAAAATATTTTTTCTGAGGCAAATTAAAAAATAGCAACAGGTCTTTTTTAAAAAATGACGAGGCAAAATTCAAGGGGGGTGCAGGCACACCCGACGCAACCCCCCTGGCGCCGGCCTTGCTATACTGTACTTTGCCCTATATATCAACACAGATACATTGCCTCAATAGATTCTACATAATTGAGGCACTGTACTATACTGTACTGATTAATGAAACCAATCAGATGTGCCGAGTCTATTTTGTTTCCTTTAACATTATCCAAATTAGGTAAAACGTAAGCACTCAAAAGTGACACTAATGACAGTGGAGAAACGTTACATTACGTCAATTAAAATAGCTTTAGAAGGCGGAGATGTGCAGAAGCGTATCTCATATCTAGTCACTCTACATGCTTCGACTAGTTGTGATAGATTCTATGATTTATGAACTTATTATCTAAGCTAGCTAATTTCCTATCATTACTTCTAAGGAGTATAAAAACGAAAGCAATATTATTTAGAACCTCTAAAGTTCCTCATATCAACAGAAAATCTTCACTTCAACAACTTCAAATCTGATAAAACGTCTGTAATATTTATCCATCATTCATTTATTCATTTTATGAAAAGTGTATATAACTTAAAGAACATCAGAATATATACTAGGCTACCAAAAGGCATATTTTAGAACTATATGTATAATTTGTACAAAACCATAATATTGATAGTAAAAAATGACAACTCATGGCAAACACCCTGCACATTGTTAATGATGATGATGATGTGCCTAAAAGCTCTATATACTTATACTTAGTAGTTTACAAATATGAAAATAATGATGATGATGTGCCTAAAAGCTCTATATACATATACTTAGTTTAACAAATATGAAAACAATGCACTGTTTTTGCCTTCCAGTCCTAATATCTCCTCCTGGAAATACTGTGTTCTTCATATTACATTACAAATAAACAATTTATGATTAATTAGTTATCTCTGGGATGGCAAATAATCTCTATGAAAACAATTTACCTGCTTCTAAATATACCTTCATGAATTAATAATATCACTGCAATGATTAGCTATCTCATTCTACTAGCTACTGTGATATTACTGAATTTCTCACATAGAAGCAATGGGTGACTATATCAAATGTTACTCCACTCTATAAATGTGTCCATACCCATACCAACCCTAATTTTTCTTTATTTGTTATATTAATAATTCCAAATAAAAATAACGTTTTCACATGATTCTGAAGTTTTGTTTCACTTTTTCACACGCATTCTATATTGCTACAACTTTCATTTCCTTTTACTGAAAAACTTAGGGAGTGAGGGAGAGGACTTGGGCAACACATTGGCTTGGAACAAGACTAACATTTCTAGTTTTGAATCAAATCTCATCTCAAGTCCATCCATCCTTATCTCATCATATTCTTCAGAATTCCCAACTGCGTAGGTAGGTTAGAGAATATGTGTCATGCAAGACTTGCATTCCTAGTTTTATATCAGTCACTGACCCCTCCACTCCGCTGCACTCAGACCTACCCCCCCCCCCCTCCACTCCCACCTGGCTTGTATAGGTATAGGCTTCTATAGGTATTTGTATTGAGGAAAGATACACAAGGACTTGACATAAGGCTAAACGTTTACTTACTAATATCAGGTCTGGTATTAATCTGCTCCCGGACCTCTTCAATACATTCTTTCACCTGTTGAGGTATTTCATTCAATTCAAGACGTGCCTTCTTAATCATTTCGTTTGAGAGGCCCCAGCCAAACTCAGCCATCCCCTCGTCACGTCCAATGTTCGTTATCTCATTTTCCACAGTCCCATTGCTGCAAATACAAGACAGATACATGTAGTGATGTATTGCACTTTATTTATTTATTGGAATTTCAAAATGGTCACCGTGTAGTTTTAACCAACCACTCCCAAAACCTAATCCGATCTTGTTTGACGCTACTTTGGTCTTGAATCTGTAAATGTTAAACACTGGTGAGTTGTTTTCCTGGAATTTTGATGCTAGTATGACAGCTGCCCAAGATGGCGACAATACAGCATTTTGAAAATGTAATAAAAATAATATACATGTACAGGAATGTAATAAATACTGGCAATTTCTTTAAATGATTGTTTGTTTCATTGCTTGATTGCTTGGGGTGGACTGACTTTTTCACTATCAGCGCAGGATTTCATTCTGTGTTTTATTAACCAATGTCTAAAGTACTAGCTACTCTATGTTTCCAGAGAGAGCTGCACATGGGTTTTAACAGACATAATATCATTAGATCCACTAACACTTCATTACATTCAAGTTGTATGAAAGAGATAATCAACATCAACCAGGAAACAAGCATCTTGTGATCTCACACCACAGATAAGTACAAAGGTGGATTCTTTGTCAAAATGAATTAATAAACACAAACAGCCAAATAAATCTTCGGAATGTGTCTTTTATTTACCTATACTGACCGAGGGAACTTTTGCATCATTTGATTTAAAGCTACTGACGCTTCAGATCAAAAAGATGCTTGTGAGCTAGACCTTTAAGTTACGTAGATTGACGTCATTCTGAGATTGTTACATGGTAACCATTACATAGGTAAAACGCTGGGAATCAGAACATCAAGATCCAAGTCGTAATGGCTCATTCCCTATTATACAACTGAAGTAAATACACAATTAATTACATGTTAGACTAATGTATAATGTTTTCTAAAGGGAATATTCTATTGAATTCTACTTGGCTGAATTACGTCAAGACACAGTTGCATGCTGTTGTACATTATGTTTTATTGTATTGTTGGGATTAAGGTCTCTAGGAATATAATCAATCAGATTCACTGTATGGAAGAGGACTTAGTATATAATCTCATATTGAATTTGTAGTTGTACTTTCACAATCGGGAGTAAATAGCACTTTTTATTAGCTTACAATCCAAAGTATAAAGCACTTTATATTAGCGATTTTGATGATTGAGGATTGAATGGCAGCCATAATGATGAGAGATTATTTTGATCAATTTTGTCAAGGTTAATTTAGAATTTGTAATCATTTTCTTATCATTGCCTATTATTAGACTAACAAGTATTATGTTTAATATAATAAAAATTGTTTAAAGGATCAATGTAATCATTTTTATGATACTTTATTAGGTAAAGTAAATAATTACATTCAAGGTGTCAGACAGCTACTAATATTTGTCGGTTTTTCTCAGAATTAATAAGAAAATGTAAAATTAAACACTGGTGTGCTACCCAACATATTCTCAAATGAATATAGATGGATTATATATAACTATTTGATGTGGACAAGGCTCCAGACATCACCCACTCTGTTCCTTCTTTCCTTTTAAATAATAATACAAGCTCCATCGTAACATTCATTTTACTCTCCTATTCTAACACCTGTGAGGTGTTTGTACAATAGGAAACACCTCAAAATATGAACACTTCTTAGAGTTTAATTACCTAACAATAACCTCTTAATGTAAACACCTACTGTAACAGTCTTAGCATTTACTATAGGGCTGGAGTCAAATAGCTTGGGATGAGCTTAATGTTGCCCTTTGTTTTTTTATACATTTACAAGGCAGGTGTTTCTGAGGCTAGAATCTGGCACAAATCAAAGATAAAAGAAATCTCATCACTTCCTGTTACAACATCAATACTAATGCTTAGAACTATCCAAACATAGAAGTTCAGATAAAGATGTACATCTATCGTGATATATTCAGGAGCATGTCATCAAAAATATAGACTTTTCCTCCGTTTCAAATTCAAATTCAAATTCCAAACCGAGGGCATTTCTAATTAATGCTAGACTTTATTCCACTTTGTCCACTTTGTGCCAAATGATAATTCACAACATGACTTATACATATACGTACATTTAAATCGAGTAAACAAAAAACTTGTATCCAGGAATTTCATCCATTTTGTTACATTGACGTTCTGTCAAAGTAACTAGTTGTGGAACATTGAGAATGAAATGCAATCTAAAAATGCAATTTATACAGTTTACCAGAATATAAGATTATATAATTCTTAGACCTTCACTGCATATTTTACTGTCAAAGATGCAACAAATGCTTTTAACTCTCTTAAGTGTCACTGAATTCAATTTTCCAAAATATCAAGCCAAGAGGTGTGAGAGCGAGGATGTTATTGTGGAAAATCATGGCATGGTCTAATTGCAAGGTTATTTTAACTTTCAGTCCAAGAGTTTCATGAGAGATGAACTGAATACTACGTATATCTAATAGAAAACCACTCAACGTCTTTAAAATTGCGTGTTTGTCCAGATATCGTACACTGACGAATTAGAAATGGTAATATCAAAGACGCTCATTTAAATTGAGTGCAGTCACTCATGACATGGGAAGAAGCTGTTTTGAATTGCAAATTGGTTAAAATCTTGACCAATGGGAATTAATAGAACTGTCAATTCTCATGTCCGCCGTGGCCAGTATGTTCTTGTTAATCTCTACTATAGGACCTAGACTTCATATATACCCCTACAATATCATTTAATCATAAATATCCTTCATAATTTGCAAGAAATTGTTTATTCATTATTTCTTTCTTGAACAAGGAAAATGGGCTCAGATGGGCAAAACCAATTAATATATTGGGTAATGTGGTATTCTCTCATTAAGGTTGTGTTAACACTTTCTAATTAAGTAATGCAAAGCAATACTTTTTTGTTTTTAGTATGAGATGTACCAGGTGATTCCCCCTTGACATAATTTTCCTCAAAAACATTCCAATATAGACACTAGGTAAACAAACATCAAACACAATCTCAAGATGCTTCAGTTATTTACCGCAACCTCTGTATATGATCAGAATCATTTATATATCATGATGGTTAAAGAGGCAATGTCTGTTAGCATTGTTCTTGGTTAAAGAGGCAATGTCTGTTAGCATTGTTCTTGGTTAAAGAGGCAATGTCTGTCAGCATTGTTCTTGGTTAAAGAGGCAATGTCTGTCAGCATTGTTCTTAATTAAAGAGGCACTGTCTGTTAGCATTGTTCTTGGTTAAAGAGGCAATGTCTGTTAGCATTGTTTTTGGTTAAAGAGGCAATGTCTGTTAGCATTGTTCTTGGTTAAAGAGGCAATGTCTGTTAGAATTGTTCTTGGTTAAAGAGGCAATGTCTGTTAGCATTGTTCTTGGTTAAAGAGGCAATGTCTGTCAGCATTGTTCTTGGTTAAAGAGGCAATGTCTGTCAGCATTGTTCTTAATAAAAGAGGCACTGTCTGTTAGCATTGTTCTTGGTTAAAGAGGCAATGTCTGTTTTTGGTTAAAGAGGCAATGTCTGTTAGCATTGTTCTTGGTTAAAGAGGCAATGTCTGTTAGCATTGTTCTTGGTTAAAGAGGCAATGTCTGTTAGCACTGTTCTTGGTTAAAGAGGCAATGTCTGTCAGCATTGTTCTTGGTTAAAGAGGCAATGTCTGTCAGCATTGTTCTTGGTAAAAGAGGCAATGTCTGTTAGCATTGTTCTTGGTTAAAGAGGCAATGTCTGTCAGCATTGTTCTTGGTTAAAGAGGCAATGTCTGCTTCCATTGTTCTGGTTAAAGAGGCAATGTCTGTTAGCATTGTTCTTGGTTAAAGAGGCAATGTCTGTTAGCATTGTTCTTGGTTAAAGAGGCAATGTCTGTCAGCGTTGTTCTTGGTTAAAAAGGCAATGTCTGTTAGCATTGTTCTTGGTTAAAGAGGCAATGTCTGTCAGCATTGTTCTTGGTTAAAGAGGCACTGTATTTTAGCATTGTTCTTGGTTAAAGAGGCACTGTCTGTAAGCATTGTTCTTGGTTAAAGAGGCACTGTCTGTTAGCATTGTTCTTGGTTAAAGAGGCACTGTCTGTTAGCATTGTTCTTGGTTAAAGAGGCACTGCCTGTTAGCATTGTTCTTGGTTAAAGAGGCACTGTCTGTTAGCATTGTTTTGGTTAAAGAGGCACTGTATTTTAGCATTGTTCTTGGTTAAAGAGGCACAGTATTTTTCACTATTAATGAGGCACTGTCTTTTAGCATTGTTCTTGGTTAAAGAGGCACTGTCTGTCAACATTGTTCTTAATTAAAGAGGCACTGTCTGTTAGCATTGTTCTTGGTTAAAGAGGCACTGTATTTTAGCAATGTTCTTGGTTAAAGAGGCACTGTATTTTTGCATTGTTCTTGGTTAAAGAGGCACTGTATGTTAGCAATGTTCTTGCTTAAAGAGGCACTGTATGTTAGCAATGTTCTTGGTTAAAGAGAAACTGTCTGTCAGCATTGTTCTTGGTTAAAGAGGCACTGTATTTTAGCATTGTTCTTGGTTAAAGAGGCACTGTCTGTTAGCATTGTTCTTGGTTAAAGAGAAACTGTATTTTAGCATTGTTCTTGGTTATAGAGGCATTGTCTGTTAGCATTGTTCTTGGTTAAAGAGGCAATGTCTGTTAGCATTGCTCTTGGTTAAAGAGGCACTGTCTGTTAGCATTGTTCTTGGTTAAAGAGGCAATGTCTGTCAGCATTGTTCTTGGTTAAAGAGGCAATGTCTGTCAGCATTGTTCTTGGTTAAAGAGGCAATGTCTGTCAGCATTGTTCTTGGTTAAAGAGGCAATGTCTGTTAGCATTGTTCTTGGTTAAAGAGGCAATGTCTGTCAGCATTGTTCTTGGTTAAAGAGGCAATGTCTTTTAGCATTGTTCTTGGTTAAAGAGGCAATGTCTGTTAGCATTGTTCTTGGTTAAAGAGGCAATGTCTGTCAGCATTGTTCTTGGTTAAAGAGGCACTGTATTTTAGCATTGTTCTTGGTTAAAGAGGCACTGTCTGTCAGCATTGTTCTTGGTTAAAGAGGCAA